AATCTAGCCTAACCAGATACCTAGAAACCATACAATTGGCGTTCAAGTTATCAAAATTCTCTAACATGTCAGTCACATACCTGTATATATATATTTTTATGCTTTTAAGTGTTGGACAGATATTTCAGTTAAATATAAAATAATGCTTCCTTAGTTACACATTTGAAGTTTTATTTAATACCAATATGAAACATTTGTTTAGAATACATCAGTTTCCCTGGGGAATATTGAAATATTTTCACTATATACCCATAAACCATTAAATATACCCATATTCTGGTAACATATGTCTCTCTCTATAAATTTATAATCATACTCTGCAAAAGTTGGCTCTCTGGAACAGTGATATCATTCCTGCTATAGAGCTCCCCAAAATCAAGAATAGTGGAATGATGTGAATCATTCTGAACTTGAATGTAAACCCTCAGTTAAAAGACAGTTTGAATACCACAAGCTGAGTGTACTATAAGTGATTTCCCACAAGATTTGTGCTCAGAAGGCACAGTTGTTGGCAGTCAGACAGCCATACACAGCAAATACGAGAACAAAGATAGTACTAATTTGTAAGCATTATATTCATTATTCATAGTATACAGTTAGTTGATAAATGGAAAAATGCCACATTTGTAAGCACATTTTTTTAAGTTTGGGAAATGCAAATGCTCAGCTCAGAAACATTGTTTTGAGATTTAAAGAGTTTTGCTGATCCACTGTTTTCCCTTAGAAAACCAAAAGCCATGTAGACGACAAGAAGCAAACGGTAAAAAAATGACAAAACTATGTATGAACTCCATGTTATTCAAGGATACAAAAATTTAGGAGGAATGCAGGAATAGGCTAAATAACATTCTAATCTGTTTTAAGTTATCAGAAAAATATGTTAGCATCAGATTGGAAAAATGTCTAAAATTAGACACCGGTTTTCACAGAGAATATTATTTGATAACAAGGGATATAAAAAGGTATGTGTGCTGGCATGAAACTTGGGATAATATCAGAGGAGTCTATTTCCAGTGCTTAACATGGAACCTGGGGAAAAGATGGCTTTTAGGGAACTGTTATAAATGTCTCTGTCTACAGCATCTAGTTCCAGTAGTTGCTGTTACAGATTTTTGACCTACATTTTAGGTCACAAAGTATGTGTCTGAACATGAGCTTTCCTAATTCTGTTTAAATTCAGGTTTTTCTGGGAAGGAAGATGTTAAATCTCTGTTTTCCATTAAATCTTTGCTGTGATTCAGTTCTAGGTGTCAGCTAAATAAATTCTTAGGAAGCACCAGGAGACCTGACTGAGGCAAGTTCTCAAGGTGCCAAATACATACCAAAGTCCAAGCCCTCACAAAGAGCCATGGAAAAGGCTACAAAATAGCTTGGCAGGAATAAAGAGCTGGATCATAGCAATCACTGACATATTTCTGTTCTCCCTATGACAATTGGCTGTTTTCAACCAGGTGCCTCCTCAATGGTATTTGTCAGGGAAGGACATTTCCTGGATATATCCAAACCTCCCTGGTGACTCTCAACACGTCTTCGAGATGTCTGTTGGATACTTCTTACATGCAAGGCCCCATTTTTAGGTGTCCACCTGGTCCTAAAGTCTTAACAATTTCTGCAAATGAAAACTATGGATCTTACTTAGATATAGGAAGTCCATTAAAGGAATTAAAAAGCAGGCAATGCTATTTTAAACTTAGGAAAGCTACAATCTTGAAATGTAGGTTTTGTTGTTTTAATTCTTCCTACCAGCTGGAAGTAAGTGCGAACACATCTCTTTTTCTTTATGAGTGAGTCAAAAATTCCATCTTTTATACTGAAAAGGACTCTATAATTTTCCTTCAAACTGCAAATGAAAAGACAGTCACTGACCACAGTATAATTGCACCGCTCTATCTCAATAAGTTAGCTATAAAAAGACACGTTTGTTCTAACACACACATCTCTTTGTTTCCAAAAAAGCAGTCTATCTTGAAATTCCGCATTTGGACAAGAAAGCCAGCAGAATGTGTAATTCAGAGGCCATTTGTGTCAGCTTTGTTTGAAATCTTACTCTAAATCTGAATGACAGAGAAAGAATGTGGCCCCCATTCATATGACACGAGCTGAAAAATTACGAGCATTAACAGCTTTCCAGTCATCTCCTTGAAACCTGCAACTCCATTTGTAGTGGATAGGGTTTCTCAAAACACTGTTCCCCACATTTAATGCTGCAGACCATGGCACCTTATAACACATTCATCCAGCATATCACATTCACATGGCATAGCACAACCACTGAAGGAAAAATAAAGGAAAAATAGCAGAAGATTAATAGATGGTGAAGGTGTGGAGATAAGGCTGAAGGTAAGCAAATACATTATATTAACTATAACTCTGTGCTCACTACACTAATCTGGAAAGGAAGCATCTTCAAATCTGAAATAGGAAAGTCATACTTAAAATTGCATTTTAAATTTTCATATTCAAGTACTTTTCAGTGGGTAGGTACCTGTATTTAACCGTGTGGAATGAAATAGATTATTTGTGAAGCATTATATAAATTTTCTTGGTAAATTTGTCTGAACTCCTTCACAACAGAATGCATGAATTTTGCTTATGCCGACATTTAAGGTTACCCTTGAAAGTAACCTTTCTCCAGCTTGACAAAATGGTCTTCTCTGCCTACATCTTCATTTACCATCTGCACTGCAGACCAGTACATTTCCTTCTTAAACCTTCCCAGAATCCCTTCATGAAAATATGAAATTATTGCCATCTCTGCTTTCAAACTTGACACTAATTATGACAGAAAAAGAAAATAAATTAAAGGATTGAGGCATCCTGAACTTCTCTTGGTAAAGGCCTACCAGGAGAGGAGAGAAAAGAGGGATATTTTACAAGGGCATGAAGTGATAGAGCAAGGAGGAAAGATTTAGATTAGATACTGGGAAAAATTTCTTTGCTGTGAGGATAGTAGGTCACTGGAATAGGATGCCCAGAGAAGCTGCGGATGATGGAGGTGTCCAAGGCCAGGCTGGGTGGGACTCTGAGCAGCTTGGTCTGGTGGGAGGTGCCCATGGCAGGAAGGGTTGGACCTTTATGATCTTAAAGGTCTCTTCCAGCCCAAGCTATTCTATGCTGGCACAAGTGAGTGGTGCATGCATTGCACAGCCTCATGCCCACAAAATCAGTTTTCTTGGGGTTAAGCTAACTCAGTTTCTAGCACAGGTGTTTAGCAGCTCTGGATTCCTGTCAAATACAGTCACAAGTGTGTCAGTGGCCATGTCGCTAGTTCCCAGACATTCACAATAATTACTAACAAACTTCTGTCAATTCTGGAGAAGTCTGTACTTCCCCCTATTTTAAGTTAATTGAAGACAGAACTGAGTGGGATTTTATGTATTACATTTGAGATCTGCTAACAAATAGCAACATTCCAGATCAAAATAGTTGTTTATAGTTGACAAACACTAAAGAGGTAAGCTGTGAGGTAAATTCATTCATGGAGGAGAACTTTAGGAGCACTTTGAATTAAGCTCAGTGTTTTCCTTCCTACTGTTATCCTATTTGAAAAAGAGGCAGAAAAATTATACTAACAATAGTTGCATATAGTCAGGAACATTGCAATTGTTGTTAAACAACAGTGCAAATAGAACTTATAATGTAACAGTTTATAACAGATGTAGAATAAAACTATATTAACCCTATTAAAATATTAATTGATTATGAATTTGAAGCAATGTAACAACCATGGAAAATAATAGATTCATATCCAATCAAAATTTGCAGAGAGCTTCTTGATTTTGCAATTAGGAAATTTGATTTCCTACTTCACTGAAGTCGAGATAATCACAGAAAATGTCAAATTTACAACATAATGAGTCCACTTCCTATAAAACCAGACAATGTATGCTTAAAATGCAGAATATTGGTCAAAGTCTCTCACATCCAAATTCTACCATAACAGAAGAAACACATTTTTGAAAGTGGACATCAATATGTTAAAAATTATGCCTTGAAATCATACTGTCTTCAAATGCATGCACAAGGTAAAGTAAATCTTAAATATAAATAAGATAATCAAAATAATTATCTTAAAAGTCTCTCTCTCATTTGTCATTCTCAATTTGAAAATTCAATCAACAAGATACAGACAGTGTTTTTGAAAGCTTTCATCAGCCTCCACTCCTCTCTAGTAGTTATCCCTACTGGAGAGCAAAACTAAAAAGAGAAATTATGACAAAAAAGAAGCAAACTGCCAAGGTATGAAAGGACAGAAATCCAATTGTTAAAGACATCCTCTTTCATTTCAAATCCTTCTTTGAACTGGCATATAAATGAAAGATAACATGTTCATGAAGAGAATATAATTTGACTTTATTACCTCATCATAACCAGCATATTATAAACTAATTCGGGATACTCAAAACTAAATAGATTAATGCACAAAAAAAGCCTATCCTTGAATTAAGGAGCTCTGAAACATACAAAGTACTTAATTATGATTTTCTCAGCCCAAACTGCTTTTTAGTAATTTTTGATGGTTTTTTCTTGATTTCACTTCTTTTCACCATCATCTCTGAAGTTGCCCCAACCAATTTTTAATTCCCTTCATACATTAGAGCTTCATGCATTTCCAAACTTTTCTTCTTAGTCTGCTTCCTCAGATACTAGTTTTCAAAAACCTTGACTAATTACAGGTTGATGACCTACTGCAGACAAGCAACTTATATTGTAACTAAGTAGAAAAAGTCATATTCCAAAGTCTTTCAAAACTGCAAAATAGAAGTTTACAGAAAATCTTTCCACAGGGTTTTTAAATATATTCACCATCAGCAACAAACAATTCATAGTATAATTCAAAATTGCAGAACAATATGTATAATTTTCCTTCAAAATAATAACCTGTCACATAACCCAGAAAAAAGTTATTAGCAATTCTGTGTTGAAAATCATGTGTTCAAAAAATGTGAATATTTATAGAAAATAACATTTACTTATTAGATTTATGTCTAAATTCTTACCTAAGCTGTTTAAAAGCTTCTGCTTTCACAAGTGGTGTTTCTACAGAATGTTCAAAAAGTGCCCCTTCAGGCCCTGCAAAAAAAAGCAAAAGATGAAAAAACATTATAATGTAATACCTCAAACATAACACAAAAATAGCAAGAGTGGTTTTTTTAATATGGCCATTTCGATGTTGGACATCAAGAGAACTCATGTTAAGAATTAAAAGACAATTAAAAAACAGCTATGTTATTACCATTGCAGCCTTGGTTGGACAAATACAATATAGAAGTAATGTAAATGTACAGCTTTAAATTATTAAAATGGTCTGAAGACAGATAAATTTTAAACTACTTACAGACATAAAATAAATAAATAAGATTTATACAATGTAATTGTATTTAAATATAGTCAATAGAGATAATTAAACCCATACAAAATCTTTGCAAATGCTACAGTCCTAAATAATCATATTTATTTCAGACTGCTCCATGCATATCACAATTTCTGTCACATAGCTTTATCAAAGATTCTCCCCTATTTACAGGCAGACTTGCTGAATATGAAATGGTGTTTCTGCAAGCAAGATGTTAATGACTATGGGATCAGATGGTTTACACCTTGATATATGTGTAGTTTCATTCCAAAGAGAAAGAAACAGTGGCTCATCAGGAGCCTGCTCAGGTCTCTGTTGGACCTGAAAATCTTCCAAGGACTTCGATTTCTGCTCTCCTGAGTATTAGCATTATTTCACATTATTTCAGTGTCACCAACCCTGTGACCACCTTCCACCTAAGCTCCACTAGGAAATCAGCTGATGTAGGACAAAAGCCCCTCAGCAACAGAGGCAGCTCGAAAAAAGCAGCTGAACACCACCACCTACGGCAAGGGTGGAGCCTCTCAACTTCTGTGCCTTGGCTTTTTGGATGTACTCATCAAAAACTGGAGCGGTCTTAGGTTGAGAGATCTTCTCTGGCTTTGAGGATTCATATACCTGAGCACTTTCCAGGTGAATATGTAGCAAGGCAATATATTTTAATAGTTAGGGTATTAGTCAAGGTGGCTTGTCTGGCTGCTCTTTATGCCATTACCCTCTGGAAAGAATTCTGAGCTGTAGAAATCCCTACGTTAGGGATTTGGGCTCTGTGCAGACAGAGAATGGCAATGGAGGATTAAAAGGTACGGCATAGATTGTATAAATGTGGTATAAAGGGAAAAAGATAATTAAAAATTGGTTGGGGCAACCTCAGAGAGCATGGTAAAAAGAAAAGAGGTGAAATCAAAGAAAAACATTAAAATTAATACATTGCTGAGACAACTGATAGGAAGACTGTCTCTTCATGAGGATTGCTGGAAAATTCTCAGGATTTCCTGAGAAGGCATAAAATGTGCTGCTTTTTGAAAAGAGTTTTAGCTGAAATCCTGATTTCCTAGAATGAAATCTCCTTGACGGAAGAGAAGAACCCAAGATACAAGAATTACCATATTAAATCACTTCACCACTTTGAGCAATCATTGATTTACTAAGCTTGAATTTAAATTTTATTTAGCTGTTGATATTCTTATAAATTTAAATAGATTACGTTTTCTGTAAATTACAAACTGGCATGAATATAATACTGGAAAATATAAAATTTATTAATTCAGACAGAGCATTAACCCTGCTTCATTAACATTTCAGTTCATGTTCATTAACATTGAGAATATTCTGCAGCTTAAGGAATTAAAAATGTTTATCAGAAAATGCTAATTTGATACAACTAAGATATTTTGCAGGGATATACTGATACAACAGAAGTGCAGATGTGGCACCTGGGGACAAGATTTAGTGGTAGACTTAGCAGTGTTGGGCTAATGGTTCAACTTGGTGATCTCAAGAGTTCTTTTCCAATGTAAGTGATTCTATGATCCCATGATCCTATAAAGCAAGGAAGTGGTTACAGAGATAGTATCAGTTTCATGGAAACAGGGGCTAATGGAAGAAAGAGAACAGGAAACATCAGTGTTAATGTTCTGGGCAGTGGCCAGATGGTGTAAAATGGAATGAAAAGGCTTATTTCCATATTCTAGAGCCTTCACCTCTAAGCACGAATAAAACCTTGACTTTAATGTGAGTAAAGCTTCTTCATCAAACAGCATTAAGTTTTAACAGTATGCCACTAAAAGAAAAACATCTCAGGGCAACCTTTTTTGGAAAATGGTCCTAAATTGATATTCTGTCTTCATTTCCTAGTTTAACTGTGATATGACTATTACTATATTTACTATTTTTTAGGCTACTGTTTATTAAGATATTGTAATTTATTCCTAAAATACACAAGAACAAGATTCTAATTTTCTCAATGACAGGTTTGAAGCCAGCAAGATTCATTAACACCCCACGCACCCTATCAAGCAAGGACCATTTGCCTTCTCAAAGCCTAACAGAATGTTTACTCATACCCTCAAATTGCCTCCTACTTAACTTACCTTCTGAGCAGAAGTGTTTAAATTAAACACACACTGTCACATTGCACTTCAGCATTAGCTACTCAAACTGAAATCCTTTGCACAGAACAGAGCAAATACTCCAGGGGATTTTTATAAAAGACAAACAAGCAGAAGGGCAAGTAGTAAACTGGAGAAAGGGTGATAGAAATATGCTTCTCCATAAAAAAACTGATCCTCTCTGCCCTGCCAGCTTTCCTTTAAGGAAAAAAAAGCGTAGGTGTGGCACCTGGGGATGTGATTTAGAGGTGAATATAGCAGTGTTAGGTTTATGGCAGGATGTTAGAGATCTTCTCTAACCATTAAAATTCTATGTTTCTATGAGCCTGCCATGATGACATTATAGAACTAGTCAATACAGTTACAAGGTGGTTTCACTGTCACCAGTGCCAGCTGAATGTACAAAACCTTCCCAGAACAAAACACGGATGTTCAGTACTGCCACAGCAACACAATAAATGCCTGCAAAACACAGGTCCTTACTGAAATAATATTGAAGAGGATGCAGTTTTTGTCCATGCTCCTTCAGGAGCAGTAATTTTCACAAAGGGCTAAACCCAGCTTCAGTTTCATATACACTGAGATGTGTCTGTGATGTAGATGTCACAGATGAGCCAAAGGCAGTGCTTCTTTGCCTCCTCCTATGTCCTTACTGTCATCTGGGACACCCTTGTGTGTCCTGCCTGGCTTCCAGCTGCCACAATCACAGGAAGCATCTCCTGGAGATAAAGTGATACCATGTGGTGTCTCACACAGCCCAGGGTGTTTCACACACAGCTGGATGTTAGTGTTTGAGCATGTGAGCTCAGCCTCTATCCACTCTCCTCCAAGGGGGATGACAAGCCCTGGAGCCCTCCCCAAAGTGGAGAAGAGCATTTGGTGGGCACAAGAGCTCTGCCCGGGGCCGGTGCCAGCATCTCTCTGTGCTCCAGGGAAGTGCGACCACCCAGACCGGCCGGCGACCCTGCGGGGTATCGGAGGCACGTTCCTGGTTGAGGCTTTCCCCAGGCATTTGCTCTTCCTTGATTTGCGCTGTTCTAGTCTACGCAGGGGCCACAGAATGTCTGACTGAAATAGTATGAGTTGAAACATACTAATTGTAGGAAAATGACAGGTGTTGGGTTGGATTATATTACTCTTAGACATTTACCTTTGTCTTGAAATATCACAAATCATACACATTTGCTGTCTGCTATATTATATTTTAGTTGAAAACTGTCAGGTTTTCTAAAAATCATTGCTGAACTTTTCATCATTCACATAAATAAGGAAAAGTAACATCAAATAGTTCACTACACTGTACATAACAAACTGCAAAATGTTCTTTGTGTATTTTAAGCCAAGGATTATCTATTTTTTATGGTATGAACTTTTCAAAATTTATTTCACATTGATCTTTATCTAAGATGTTTAAAAATAGTCTCAGTATATATTAGTGTTACCAATTTATCCTTCATACTAATAGTATCATTAAAATCACAATAATTTCTCCTTCATGCTAATAGTATCATTTAAATCACAATTTTAATAAATTAATTTGAAGCAAAGTAGGCATGAATCTCCTCTCACTTACATTAATTTTACACTGAAATAACTTCACTGACTTTAATGTATTTGCTTTTGAATTTTACTACAGTATAAAAAAAAAACAGGCAATGTGTCAGTACAATATCTGCTGAAGTAAATAATTATCAATGCACTGTAAAGATTAATATTGGATGAGTGAGTCATTAATATTAGCATAACAATTTCAACTCGTGTATGAATGATTTTTACTTACTTTGAGCAGAGACAGACCTTTTCCAAATCAGTTAACAATTATGCAGTTTTTCATATCTTTGTTAAACACGCTTTTCTATTAAAGTTTAGCATCCCTTGGGCAAACAATAATTATTTGATATGGTTTCCTGGTTAAACAAAGTTGCAATTTCAATTAGGTTAAAAAGTAAAAAACCTTAAGATAAGACCCTCAGGCGTAAACAAAATTTATTAACACAATTATTATAACTTAACTTTGACTTTGAATCACTAATTGTATAGTTACTACCATATTTATAGTTTTGACAGTGAAATAATATGAATCTATTCATTGAAATGAAGACCTCAAGATTCCAGAGGACCAGTAATTGGGGAAGGCCAAACATGGCAGTTGCAATCAGGTAAAAAATATTAAAACATTAATTGAAAAGAAATTACAGAATAATTTCAATATTTCCTTTGATGGATTCTTCTGCTCAAAAAGAGAAATCACACCTTGATGTATCTATTTTAATGCCGCCTAGAAAATGAAGGTTGACTTTATCAGGTTGTATGAAAGGAAGTAGCTTTTCATGCGATAACTTTGACATATTACTTTGTAAATGAGTACTTCAGTGATTTGAAGAAACAGCCTAAGACAAACTTTTCTCTTGACAGGTGACATTTAAGATATACTACAAATATCTTCCTGTGACATATGTGCTACTCACAGAACAGAAATACAGTAGCTTTCACTTTGAAAGATAAAATCGTATAAAAATATCAGAGAGATATTTCTCTCTCCAAGGTTTTCACAGATCAGACTCATTACTACTCAGAATGGAATATCTAGAATTTTTTCAGCTTCAGACAGTGTGCACTGGAAACATTAAATAATTCATAAAAAGATGGACCACTACAGTTCCAGCTATTAATGGCTTTAAAATAAAACACACACATACTTACACATTTTATAGAATAATTTTATAGAATATTTACACATTTTATATATATATATATACACACACACATATATACAAATGTCTTAGATTAGAAAAAAAGTCAGATTATCTTCATATTTCTGTTTCCTAATGCGGTAAAACAAGAACTTGAATTCACACATAATAACTTATTTAAAAATGCCATTCTTATTGTGCCTTTCATATCAGTGTTACCTGAGCATTTTTTAAACCGTTACAAACCTGTGACTCGAAGCTTATCTGTGCCAATTACAACTTCATTTTCATCCACTGTAAAAAGTGGCTTTCCATCCTTTGAGTTGATCTGAAATTGCTGACTGTGGAATTCTACCATTTTAGGACCTGCAAAAGACAGTAGACTAATGGAATAATTTCATCATTTTTCTTCAATTTTATATATAAATTAATAATTTTAATTGATGTGCTAACAATGTAGTGACTCATTTAAGTCCACTGAAGGGCATGAAGCACTCAGATATTCTAAGGATAGTGAACTTTTAAGTTCTGAAATTGGTTAAGTCTATTTACATGATTAATTTGTTGTTCAAAACCATGTCTTGGAGTCTTCCTTTGTAGTTGGGTTTCCAGGGAATCTAGAAAATCCCACACAAATTGATCCAGACTAACATTCATGTCCTTGGTGTTGAAACTGCTTTGATCAAATGAATCTATCTTTTCTTTTTCTTTTTTCTTTCTCTTTGTTTTGAAATGGAAACTAATTATCAAAGTCTTTGCAGCATCATCCCTTTTCATTAGGGAGGCTCAAATGCTTTAAAATAACAAACATCCCATGTAAGAGCAGGACCTCAGCTCTTCCTAACAGATGCCAGTTTGGCTCCACTTATCTAACAAATGCTACTGATCATTTTCTTAAGGGTTTCAAGAAACTAAAAGAATATTTGCAATTGATTCTGGTACTCCAAAAATGAAAATAATATGAGCAAGAGAGTCTGTGCATACTTCCAGATCCAAAATTCACTAAAACATCCTGTTCTACAATATTGGCTAGGTAAGCAGATAAAAATCAAACCCTTAATATTCCCTGTTCTAACAACCTGATCAATTAAAATTCACACCACATTGAGCCTGAATATCTATTACATAGAGTTTCATCATAAATCTATATTCAGAATTAAAATTACAGACAATGGTCAAAGCAGTTAAGACTCCTTTTCAGCAATTTTTAATAAATGCATTTCACAGACTATCCACAGGACCGAGAGGCACTGAACTGCTTCCTTCCCATTAAGAACCTGTTTTCCCATGTCTGCTCACATAAATGTTAAATATATTTCAGGTAGTAATTCTCAAAAGAAATGTTTTTTTTTTTTTTTTAGCTCTTATGTGAAAGGGGCATTAAATACATGCAGGCATTTGACAAAATCTGGTTGGTAGCTGGTATGACAGAAGCACACCATGAGGCTCCACACATATTGCTTATTGCTTCACTCAGCAGATGTAAAACATTGATTTTAACTGTCCACCAAGCACAAAGAAAGAGTTAGAGATGCCATAATGTCCTAAATGAGGGCAACAATTTTAAGGCATAGAACCCAATACTGATTCTTCCTGAATAAGGAGGATAGAGGGCTGAGCTCTGCATTACGTTATGCTCTGTGGCACATGTGCACCCAAGCACAATCTTATGGACCCCAATATGGCTCTTCTCTAAAGCTGTTCTGAAGCCAAAGACTTTATTTCTGAGAAGTATGTTGCAAAAAGTGAGATCAGAAAATATCTTTGTCAAGAGAAAAGGCCTTAAACAGTATTTAAAAAATTTTTTTACAGCAAAAGAAACAGTTCTGGGTAAGTGAGGCAGGGATGGATCCCTGTCAATGGTTTCCTAGACAATCTTGGTTAAGGTTTTATTAAGGTCCCTTCCAACCTGAGCCATTTTTATAGTTTAGTGATTGATTGTTCCTGTTTGTGCCCAGCAACAATAATGAAACTGGCCTTTCATGTAGTGTAGCTAGATCCTTGTGTTTTCAAACAAATCAAAGGCCTGAGTAAAATGGATAATATCAACTTCACCAGTGCTGCAGGGGCTGGTCCCTCATCCTTCCCATTCATCCAACTCCATGATTTTAAAAGCTAGCTTAATTAAGGAAAAACTCTGCAGGCAGTGTGAGAGCACTTACTGAACATTTTGTATTTTCCAAAGCTACTTCAACTTGTCTCTCTTTGGAACTCCAACTCATGGCCCTTGCCCATGCTGGATTTGCATTCAGACTGTTTGATCCTGGACCTTGCACACTTGAATAAATCTTTAACAAGAATCTTTAAGTCCACAGTTTTCTTAACACAAGTGCCCCACTAATGTGAGACAAGGACTGTCCTATAGATAATCTTCAATATCAGAGAATGGTATGAATAATAACGGATGTATTTTGAATCTTAAGAAGGAATGATAGGGTAAACAAAATTCAAACATATGTTTTATTCATGCTAGAGATGAGATATCTCAGGGTTTCAAAAAGAAGTAATAGATTTTTACCTAAATGGCAAAAAGTTTATGTAATGAAAAGGAGCAAGTAATTTCTCTTAATGGTATTCCACAATACACATAAACTAGCTATATTCAATAACACTAACTGTATCATAATCTCAGTGAGATTAATTTTCAACTCACAAACAGCAGCCAAACTCAGTATCTGAAAGTGTAATCTCCTAATGCCTAAATGTGTTTTGTTTACCACTCTAGCATATTAACTACATATAAGTCAACTAATACTATATAATCATATTTGCTGATAAAATCCTATGATTAAAAATGCAACCTGACTGAATGCAGGTTATAGACAATATTTGTCTTCTGCTTGCTGTGAGATGTGTCACACGAATTTCCAGGTCAATGGGTTATTCTTGCTAATCAGGCTGATTATTGCCTATTGTTCCTGTGTGTTTCCTCCTTTAATGTGCAGTCCTGAAGCAGACCTTGTAAGTGATCTTCATATCACATACCTCTTGACACTGAGGATGCTGCTTTAAATGGTCAACTTTTTTTTTACCAAAAAGAAACTGACATGCTGCTAAACAGTCTTCATTTTCATTTGTCCTCACTCTTTACATCCCTAGAGATTTTCCGGGGAAGGAAGCTCTTGTTTAGTGACTCCATTTCAGTTGAAAAGAGTTTAATAAACTGTCTTCTACTGCTACACAACCTTTGAATTCCAGGCCAATACAAATATAGATGTACCAGACAGCAAAGGATCTTCTGTCAAAAACAGGGCCAGCCATAAAATAAATACATGCAAATGCTTAATGCCAATGAAATCTGAGGAGTCTGAAATTTGAAGTCTGCCTACATGTTACCAGTAGGCAGACTCTTCAAATAGTTCTGCCAAATACTAAGCATTTTTACTGTGTCTTTAGATCTTTCAGAAGAAAAGGCTTTCCAACATTGGATTTACTTTTATCACTAAGTAATTTAATATCTTTTATTTTCTTACTCTCTTTTTTCATCTGCCATTTCTAATTAACCTATGGCTGTCAGCTACTCTGTATGTTTTGCTCTTCTCCTACCACCTAGAATCATTGAAGTATTGGGTATAAACCAAAGTCCAGACTGCTCTTTGATATTCCTATGCAATTTCCTTTTCCAGTTAATTTTTATTAAACTAAAGCACCTTACCTAAAAGAAGATCTCATTAAAAGGGTATTAAAAACGTAATACTCCTACAGATTCAGTTCTCATTCCATGTATGACAGAATACAATACCAATAAATGTAAAGCTCTTACTTTCAGAAACATAAAGTTAGGCATATTTTCATATGGAAAGGTATAGTATTTCATTAGAACAAAGGTATTACTACAGGGAACGTGCACATTGCACAGACACATTTTATGTCGGTAACATACATCTCTCATAGGTTTGAACAACTCTAATACATGAATAGAACACTTGCTGATCCTATTTCCCCTTTTTCTCTCAGTTCTCCTTTTATGCAATGGATGAAACAATTATGTCCTGTCAGATCAAGGTAAAAGTGCCTTACTGTCACTACTGTTTATATTTTGTTGTGATCTGTGATTGAACACAGGTCTAGGGATCTTAAAAAATTGGTCACCTTTTCTCACAGGCTTAATGAATCCAAATTTTGTTGCATTAAGAACTTCAACAGGAAAAGCTGAAACATACAGTCCTCAGACAGATAAGGTGAAAAGAAAAATACTAAAGGAGATGAGGCATGATAATATGAAACCCTGTATGCAGAGAGGATAGCTGATCTCTCATTCCTAAGTGAGTACTTTATCGTCAGTATAATGGATATTCTTCTTCCCCTTTTCCTTTTTTTTGAAAAAAAAAAAGAAATCCATGAGTGTATTTTCATAAGGTCAACTCATGCACTGTGTTTCAGCAGTATTCTAAGCCTACCTACTGGATCTGGGCAGAGGACAGTGTGAGAGGATCAGCTGAACAGATGGAGCACGATTCATTTCACAACATTCATTTCACAACTGCTGTCTAGTACCATTATACATTCTTTTGTGTTCACTGCCTGGCCTTCAGCTTATTTCAGATGTCCTAGAGTGTCCAGGATTTCTATATCAGACCAGAAAGTCTGACATGGGGTCTGTAAGCAACGTTTTCTTCCAGCGTGTCAGGTGAAGACTGGGCAAGATTGAATCACAGAAGAATGCAAGCCAGAGGTCACCTCTCTATGTTCCAACTCCTAACTACAGCAGGGTCAGCTCGGCTGGAAGTTAGATAAAGGTGCTCAGGGTCTTGTCTAGATGAAGTTTTAACACCTCTGAGGAAGGGGATTTATCAGACTCCCTGGGCAATCTGTTCCCATGGTTAACCATGGAAGAGTGGTGAGTCTCACGCACCCCTTCTATCCAGTTGCATTTTGCCTTTCTGCAAACCAAGACCATTGCCTTTTGCCCTCTTGCTGTGCACCTCAAGTCTGGATTCACGCTAGTGATTCGACAGCAGGAAATGGCCTCAACCAAGAGAGCTTCAGGTTTGATATTAGGAAAAAGTTTCTCCACTAAAAGAGTGGTTAAACCTTGGAACAAGCTACCCAGGGAAGTGGGTTCAGAAGCATTGAAAAAATGAGTAGATGTGGCACTTTGTGATATGCTTTAGTTGGCATGGTGGTATTTGGTCAAAGGTTGGACTTGACCTTGGAGGTCTTTTTCAACTTTTATGATTCTATGATTTATTTTGTCTCTAGCCCTCCTAGTACCCGGTGCCCATTAGAAGCTCTCCTTAAGCCTTCTCTTCTTGCAGGTTAAACAAACACAACCTCTTCAGACTCTTACAGTTCATTGCTTCCACTCCCTGGCCATCTGAGCAGCTCACTGGGTGGCTTGCAGCTCCATCCCACTGGAGAGGGTC